AGAGGGGCACAAAATCCCCCGGCGCAGACCCCTCCACCCCGCAACTGGGGTAAATGGGGCCCGAAAACATAAACCCCCCCCATATTTCTGCAAACGCGGGAAGAGAGGTCAAAGCAGCTTCATGTTGGGTCCAAAAAAGGCCATCAGGGATAAAAACCATCCCCGGATTTTGGGCAAAGCCCTCTCCAAATTGAAAAGGGTCCCCGTAGTTGGGGCAAAATCACCTGAATGGCAAAACCACCCCCAAACTCAGGGCCAAAAGGACGAAAAAGAACAAAAGCATTCCCAGATTTGGGAGAAAAAGGAAATAAATGGTCAAAGCATGCCCAGATTTGGGTCAATACGGGCCCAAAAATGGCCCATGGGGGTCAAAAACATCTACAAGAGCCAAAGCATGCTCAGATTTGGGGCGAGAATAGCCAGAGTGGCAAACCATGCGCCAATTTGGATCAAAACTGGCCAAAAAAGGACCAAATCAGGGCCAGATTTGGGTGGAGAACAGCCAGAAGGGCCAAAACAGGGACAGATTCCAGTCGACAAAGGCCAAAAGGGACCCAATGAGGCCCAGGTTTGGGTCGAGAAGGCCAAAACAGGCCCAGATTTGGGTCAAGAAAGCCAAAACAGGCAAAGCATCCCAAGATGTGACAAAAAACTGGCATTAAGACCCAAAACATGCCCAGATTTGAGGCAAAATTGACAAAATAAGGCAAAACATCCCCAGATTTCATGAAAAAATGACAAGAAAGGCTAAAAAATGCCAAGATTTAGGGAAAAAAATGATTGTGAAAGGCAAGAATGGCAAAAAATGGCCAAAACAGGCCCAGTATGGGTCTAAACTTGCCCAAAGGGGCAAAGGAAGCCCGGATTTGGGGAAAAACTGGCAAAAGAGGGAAAAACATACCCAGAGTTGATGCGAAATCTGCGAGAAAGGGTAAAACATTCCCGGGTTTAGGTAAAAATGCGGTTCTAACAGAAAAACTTCCCCTTATTTGGTGCAGGAAATCCCACAAAGGGCAAAGCCACCCCCAGTGCGGCTGCGGAAGGGGCCCGGAAGGGGAAGGGGGCACAAGCGGGGGATGGTCCCCCGGGAAAGGCCCCCCCCGGGCGCAGCCGCTGACGGGAGACCACCTCAGACCCCACCACCGTTTTTGTACCACTCTGCACCACCGTGAGCAGCACCCCAATTAGCACCAGTATCACCCACGGTGACACAAAGGGGCATAAAATCCCCCGGCGCAGACCCCTACGCTGTGGGGCCGCACGCCCCACAGGCCACAGACTCACCTCCTCCCTCCCGCACCGCCAAAACACCCACAAATCCCCAAAACGTCCCAATCTGGGGGGGCAAAATCACCACAAAGAGCAAAACCTGCCCAGAATTTGTTGCTACAAGAGCTGTAAAGGGCAAAGACAGTCCCGTTATGGGGACAAAATGACCAGAAAAGACAAAAAATGGCTCTAGTCGCGGCAAAATTAGCCAGAAAGGACAAGACTGCCCCAGATTTGGGGCATGAAAAGGCCAGAAAAGGCAGAGAAAATGCCAAGATTTGGGGGGAAAGTGGACAGAAAGGGCCAAATGGTTCCGGCTTTGGGGACAAAGCTGATGGAAAGGGCAAAAGCGCTCTCAAATCTGAGGCATAAAGAGTTGGAGAGGGAAAAGCATCCGCAGATTGGAGCCAAAAATGGCCCAAAGGGTCAAATATTCCCGTACTCGGTTCAAAAATGGTCATAGAATTAAAAGGATGTTCAGATTTGGGGCGAAACGGGCCAAAAAGGGCAAAGGCATGCCCAGATTTGGGAGAAAAGGGCTATACATGGCCAAAGCGTGCCCAGATTTGGGAGAAAATAGACAAAAAGGGCCAAAACATGAACCCCTTTGGGTCAAAATTGGGCCAAATTGGGTTCATGGGGGTTGAAAATGTCTACAAGAGCCAGAGCAGCTCCAGATTTGGGTCAGATTGGGGAAAAAAGCCAAAGCATGTTCAGCTTTGGGTCGAGAGTGGGCCAAAGAAGGAAATCATGCCGCGATTTGGAGCAGAACTGGCCAAAAAGGGCCAAAGCAGAGACAGATTTGGGTCGAGAATGGCCAGAAAGGGCAAAGCATCCCAAGATTTGGGTCGAGAATTGCCAGAAAGGGCCAAAACAGGCCCAGATTTGGGTCGAGAATGGCCAGAAAGGGC